TTCATTACTTTTTGGAATGTGTCTCTTCTTCAGATTGTAAATGGATACTTTGTGCACTTCTTTGCTCCTGAATTACCCAAACTCCCAAAGAATGTGGTCTTTGTAATTGATATAAGTGGATCAATGAGTGGAAGAAAGATAGAGCAGGTAAGAAGTTGTTCTGACCCCTGATGTGCTTCTAATATGTCAAAGTTCACGTGGACACACGTCATTCTCTGACTCTTTGTAGACAAAAGAAGCTATGCTGGCCATTCTTGAACAAGTCCATGAAGACGACCACTTTGCCATCATCCTGTTTGATGCTGTTATTGAAACCTGGAAGGATTCACTTACCAAAGCAACAAAGGAAAACATAATTGAAGCCATGAATTACATCAGAAGAATACATAGCAGAGGAGGTAAGAAATACAAAAAAACAAGTAAACAAAACAAAAAAAAAAACCCAAACACCTAACAGCACAAAAACATTAATAGTTTATGCATTTTAAAACATAAATTGTGTTTTTCTTTTAGCAACCAATATTAATGATGCAGTGTTGACCGCTGTAAACATGCTGGTCAAAGACAGACAGATGGAGAGGCTACCAGAGAGAAGTGCAGATATGATCATATTACTGACTGATGGAATGCCAAATGAGGGTAAGTATGTAGAGTGCAAATATACCGTAGGCTAGATTATGTTTGTTCAGCATTCAACATTTAACATTACATTGCATTTAGCATTTTTTTTCTTTATGTGTTGCATGCATGCATTTGTAGGAGAGAGCAATATTGGCAAGATCCAGGAGAATGTGCGTACAGCTATTGGGGGAAAAATGTCTCTGTACTGTCTTGGATTTGGAAATGATGTGGATTATTCCTTCCTGGATGTGATGAGCAGGCAAAACAAAGGCCTGGCTCGCAGAATCTTTGAAGCTTCAGATGCTGCTGCTCAGCTCCAGGTGCGAGTTCCTCTTCCACACTAATCTGTGTAGCTGCCTTATTTAGAAACCTTTAGATAATAACTTCTTCCACAGTGTAACCTCGTGTGCTTTATCCAAGCATACTTTCTGCTAAATCACCTGCAAATTATAATTATAATAAATGCAGCCTGTTTGTAGCTTTGGAAACCAGGATCACTGAGTTGGAGTCCCAGCTCCAGACCCTTGAAAATCCTGCAGCTAACCAGAGCCCTGTAGTCCATGTGGGCAACGATAGCTTGGCCATCCAGCCCCCCAGCAGCTTGTACAGAGCAGCCAATAAATCAGGCCAGCTGGGTAACAGTAAGCAGGAAGTCCATAATGTCCTGTTCACCAAGCCATAGTTTGAATTATTTTTCCTTTGTTGACTTTGGGTGGGTGGATTGATCCAAATATTGATAATCTTACAAACACCAGTGGTGTTATCAGATTGATGTTTTACTTTGTTTCTTCACTTTACGTCAAGTGTGTTGCATCTGAAAGCAAACACCCTCCTCTTCCTTGCCCTGCTGTGTTTAGTTGTCCTGTGAGCGAAAAGCAGCTACATGCTGCAGTGAGTGAAAAACCGTAGCATCTCATAAAAGTACTTTACAGTTGTAGAGGGTAACACTACAAACAGTGATGTGTGTTTCAAGGAAATCCTCTATTGTAGCAACAAACCAACTTATAAAAAAACAACATGAAAAAGAGAGCAGTGTCTCTTTTTCTATTTTTAAATTCGTCTGAGAGACCCATCGCACAGAGACAGAACCCACTGTCACAGTCCTTTCAGTGAGGCAAAGCTTAACCTGGTAGCCCATATAGTGGCCAAAGGATTGCTTTAGTCATAGCAGATGAATTACTTATAAATTATATAAAATCATTCAGATAATA